CACAAGTGGGTAAAAAGTGGCATTAAAAAATGCATTTCCCACCAACTGAAAATAGCAATTTACCCCTTTCTTTGCCATATCTCTGATGTCTTTGTTTGAGAAAACTGCTTCAACACAACTCTGTTAGCAGGCTGCTCATGCAAACGAAATATCCATTAATAAAGTTGAAACGGGCAATTGTGGAGGGGGAGGAGGAGGTAGGCAAAGGTCTGCTTGAGAAATGCCCTAACTGTCCGTCATGTGACTTTTCTTATTTTAAATGCAGCATGATCAAGACCAATATTATCTAAACTTTACTTCATATTGCCACTGTGTCAGTGCATGGCTACATGATCAGTTTTGAGATCTGAATCATGTTTGCACAATGGCTGCACTGTAAAACTTTGAAAATACCACACAGGCACCAATAATTAATCTGGCTGTCCTACCATCTCTGCTGTCAAAGTCCACTACAAACTAAGATTAATAAACCTTTTTCACAATGCTATATCATATCAGAAGGTAATGTTACCTGTCCACAAATCAGCATATTAAGAAAACTATCATTATCTGTTCACTCACTCATTGGTACTTCCCAAAAGACTAAGTTGATAAATCAAAATTTTGCATTCCCTTTCAGAGAATACATTTTAAAATCTGACTGTTCAGACTTATCAGGACATTAAGTGAATTGTGATTTTTTTAAAAAGAAGCATACCTTTTCCATCACAAACCAAGCTGTTGCAGAATGGCAAGCTGTTTAATAAAAAACAAACAAAAATAACAACAATAATACAATGCCCTGTCTCAGTTCATGTTCCTTCTTTCTGTATACTACATGATCAATATGATCATCATCAGCCTGTAAGTACTGTCAGATCAGTCTGAAGATTCACTTTTAGAGTACTCTTTATTCCGAATGTCAGGCAAAAATACTATTTACCAACAAAGAAACAAGTCATTATATAACCATGCAGTAAGTGTGCAATGTAGGTCTAATTACGTATAAATGTTTTAGCTCCATCATTAGGTCGAAACTTCATTTTCTCACTGACATTCTAGTATTTGGATAGTCTGCTACGAGAGGAGGAAAGTTCACAAGGGCCTCAAAGGCCAGGGAGAGTTTCATAAAGTTTAAAACACTTCATTATATAATGTATCTTAATTACTTAGTCTACTAGCAAAATACAGCTGTCATTCCTCATAGATTTTTACCACCAATAGCACCAACCGCTGAATGTTCTTTTCCTCATTTTTGATTAAAAAAATTAACCTTACCACAAGACCACTACTATAATATTATCACACCCACAAAACATACTATTCTTCGGGTAGTAAATGACAAAAAAAGAGACACTTTCTTACAAATAATAGATATGAATTCATGATACAGCAGAAAACTTGTGGTGCCACCTGAATAGTGAAATAATACATTTAATTTGAGAATGCATTTCTTTCCCCAGAATGCGGTAAGCTGCAAAACAGAAAGCACGAAACTCGCTAACAAAGCAAACCTCAAAGAAACTTACAACGTAACATATTATATCTGGAAAAATAAAACAATTCCATGAACACGGCAGTTTCAAGTAGCGTCGTTATCGCAACGTTCTGGCTACCGTCATAATTACTACCACGGCCGAAAAACCTAAATTTGCTGAAGCACATTTCATTAGGAAACATTACATAATTTAAAAATGACTAGTATAAGAGTAAAAATGCGTTCCGACTCATAGTCCAGGAATAACTGTCCACGTTTATAAAGTGAAAACGAATACTATGAACACAGGAATTACCAATACGATTGATTGTGACTAATTAGGACATAAAAATATATATATGTACACATAACAGCAAACACTGGTATAGCAATTTACCTAACACAAGACTTGCGGACCAGTCACTTATTTGCGTTACCCTGACTGTTAGGTTATTGTCAAGATTATATGCATGTATGTATGAAAGCACACACACATACATAGGCTACATACATATATACATATATACATATATATATATATATATATATATATATATAAAACTTTGGAAAGAACTACAGGGAGGGAGGGATAGAGAAGAGAGAGGGGAGGGGACAACTAGGAAGTATAGTGTGGGGGAGGGGTGAAAAACTATGGTAAATTCTTTTAATGAACACGCAGCCATTTTACTTTTTTTCCATTCGATCTGTTGTTGATCCAAAATATTTGCCAAAATCGATTTTGTACAGTAATACAAAACGTTGGTGGTGATTCTAAAAAATGTATGTTATTTATTTATAAATCCCGTGTGGTACAGCGAAAAGCCTTGGATGAGGCCTAGGTGGTCATTTGAATCTAAAACGAAAAAAATGTTTCATGAGAAAATGTGAGCTCCAATAAAGACATCAAAGACGCTCCCCACGTTTTTTTTGCGCGTATTTATATATGCATATCTAACATCTAGACCCAGAACATCGCAAAGGCCTCTGCAGAGCCACGTGAATTTTCGTAATCTAACACTTACGAAATGATACTAACATGTAAACACGTCCACGACTAAATATGATAGGACACGTCACATTGTTCAAATACTAACAAACTTTCGACCGGCAGGAGAAGAGAAATGAGTGATAGAATTGTAAATACCATCGCCTCAAAAGCCTTCTCGACAAGGCCTAAACTAAAACTACGGACTTGAGCAAAATATCACCCTTATAACCGTTTCACTAATAAATTGCATTTTTGCTACTATATACGAAAAAGGAGGATTCTGTGTGAAATGTATTTATCTAAGGCAAAACAAATCAATATTTTCACTGTGAACAGACACTCCTTCAAATAAATAAGTAAACAAATAAATAAATAAAGAAATGAATGGATAAATAAATAAATAATGTCTGTGCATGGTTGGGGTAGGCCCAGGCTTCACAAGGGATTCGTCATTTCGACACCAAGCATGCATTCTGAAATAATTTAAATGTTGAATAAAAAGAAACACACACACACACACACACACACATACATACATACATACATACATACATGAATACCAAGGGACAACATTTCGCGTTAGTTCTGAAACTAAAAAATTGGCCTTTACCTTTGTTTCTTGGGGACAGAATGCTCGACCTCAATACATTTGCCATGCAGTTCCACTTTACCTGAAAAATAAATGTTTGAGATAAAAGTTCAACCGTATTCTACCCCCATAATCGAAAATATTTAATCTGTAACTGAACACTTAATGATCAATATCAATTATTACTTTGCCGAAACACTACGCTAAGTGTAAAGTTCCTGCGTCCGTCAACTTTGTGATGGATTATGTATCACACAAAAATTTCATACGGCATGCGTAACACAACAAAATTATGAGCCTTATTATATACAAATAGAACATTCGTGTAGCTTTGCATTTATTTCAGAGTTATTTTTTGCTGTTTATTTTAGTGTGCAAAAGCCTATAACAGCATTACATTGGAAATACATTTCCAATGTAATGCTGATAATAGTAGTAATTCTGGATTCCAGGCATTTATTGTAACATTTATGATATAATTAAATATGCTACTTGCTTGCCCTAGGTTTGGTGGAGATCTGTATTGTAGTACAGGAACAGCATGGCGACCTTCGCGCTATATGGAACACACATCACACGCTACATATTCACAAATCATGGACATTTTACTAATTCATACACCTCTCAGGATTACAGCAACAAATCTGAAGGTAGAATCTTGGACTAAAACATAAACGAAACGTGTAATCTCACTGATATATTTGTAAAACATGCATAGGTAGATAGATAACCAACGGATTTCCTATCTGTCGCTAATGGCCTTTTATCCAAAAGGGGGAGGGGTACAATTTAATTCTATAGCTTGAACGATGATACCGATTCTATCTTAGTGTGTAAAACTTCAGTGAAGGCATTGTAAAATAATAAGTAGGCTATACTACTATGACTGCAAAACTATGTCCTACAATCATGTTATGTTCCATATATGTTCCGTCTAAACAGATACAACCGACCAAGGAATATACTCTATTAGTACAGTCTTTTAGAGAATAAGTCAATCTTGTTACGCCCCCCACCCCCTTTAAAAGTTGAGTGTCATGTCGGTCACCTCACGCCGAGATTTTAGACACATTCCTTGGAATAATCAAACAATTAAAAAATAATAATATTTATTCTCTAGACCAGTCATTTCCATACTCTCGCGTCTTCAAAATACTCAAACCATTGGTGACGAGAACCAGCTAAAGTTAGTCAAAGGGACACGCTTTACGAATTAGTCCCTTATACATTCTGTCCATTTTATAACATTACGTGAAATGAACACTTCCATTATCATATTTTAGGCATATCCAGTTACTTACCCGAAAATGTTTCAATTGCTTTCATAGCCCATTGGTCATCTGGACAGTCAACAAACGCATAGCCAGTTTTAAGTAGAAACTGTCCAGAGAAAGGAATCTTGCAGTCTTCAAAGACTTTTACCAAGTCTTCTGAAGTCACATTTTCACTCAGATTTCCAATGTACAACTTGTTCATGTTGAAGAATGAAACCACGGTAGAAGTCCACCAGTAAAATAAAAAATAAATATCAGTAAAATTGTTTAAAAGACGCCAAAATAGTAGAGTCGATGAGATAAATAGCCAATCCAATTTGTAATTTAAACGAATAAGGGAACAGAAATATATTTTAAAAATCCAAATAATGATCAAAAGTTGTAAACGGTAATATGGTATGACTTAGTCTCTGTAAGATCTTAGAATAGTGGCGGAAAAGCGACAATGTAACACCCTTAATTAGTAATCGCACACTGTATCTGTATTTTAGCTTGGATTAATCCGACTGGTATGATGGTGGTAAAAAAAAAAGTAGCACGGCTATGGCGGGATCAGAAGAAAAAAAAAATTCCTCTCTCGCTGCCCCGAAACCTCGAGTTCTACCCAACACCGATCCTTATGCTTAATGACGGCACCGCCTCTAAAACGATCTGGAAAAAAAATACTCATTTTTTTGTTTGCGAAGAGGAAACCACGTGGTCTCGGAGTACCGACAGAGGGGTTGGCCCTCAGCAGCTAAGGAGAGGATGGGTGTGCAAGTCCTGTAGTATGCCGGCTGACGACGTAAAAGCTGGGTTATGCCCTGTAAACCACCCACATGTAGTGCACATATACGTGAGTTCACATATTTATTAAATGTGTCATCAGAGCAAATAAAAATGGTAAGCGTATGTTTTTTATTAGAAAACGGCGAGCTGTGTGATCGCCAGTGAAGGGTCTCGGCAGGGATTATGCGCTGGTTAATGTTCATACATCTTACTAGATAAGATATTTTACCTGAAAAGTACGAAGGAGTGTTTTCTGCCTACTGATAATACTGTTAAAATCTAAGTCATGAACTGAAATACCAATTTGTCTAAAAAGTAATGCGACTCTAAGCATCGATTAACATTTAACTGTTTAAAGGGTTTAAATGTTAAGTTGCAAAACGTGCAAGAAATGTATAGGCCAACGTTTCCAGTCATATCCTAGTGAATCTCACGCACATTTGACGAAGGCTATATAAGTCTAGTGAATGTAACACACATCTGACGTAGGTCGTATTAGATATTTAAAATATTTGTTCTTTCTTCATTTGAAGGTCTACATGGGTGTTTTCGCCAGTGAATGATTGGAGTTGAATATAAGAAAATGCCCGAAACTTCCGCTGACACGAATACCCCCTTCCACTTCTCTACTTGTGAAGACAGTCAGTTACATGAAGGCCCTCGGCAAGATTTACAACATGCAGTAGAAGCTCGTTTGTTCATGCCTCCAACCAGCTCGAAATCTCGGAAACTACGCAGCAATACAACTAATAATCGTCTTCTACCTCACCCGTGGTTTGCTACTGGATTACATTTACCAAGCTGATAGCGTCTTTGACGGCAGAGAACATTAAATGCAGAGGAATAACGTTAAATATATATGTCGTGTTTTGTTCTACACGGTCTTTGTATTTCAAAATGGTGGTACGTAAGGCACCAGGCCTGCGAGGGAGCTGTGCAGCTTGCTGGCGTGTACGACGGCGTCCTTGCTAGGCTTGCAGGCATAGGGTGTTTTTTGTGTCGTTCTTTTCTGTACTGCTGTCCTGAAATTAAATTTGAGGTACAAAAATGCACAAGCGATTAAATAGTCTCTCGTCATTAATATATACTAATTGCTGATAATCGTTTCCCCCAAATGTTCTTTTTGTTCAAAATAATTATCAACGTGTTTCAACAGGTTGATTCTTGGAGTATAGTTGTACACTTTATCTGTTTTTTTACGTGAAACAGGTAAAATAGCCTATATTTGGTGGTAATACGTATTTTAATGTGCTGTTAACCAAGAAGATAATTATACGTGAACATAATGAGTGCAAAATTAACATGTTAAATGATGATAAGGAACCACGTTTTCCTTGTTCTTTTATAAACGCTCACGTTTAGCTAAGTCTATATAGGAAAATAATGTGTTTTCGTAATTTAAATAAGTTATAAGCTCGAGGGAAAGGAGATACTTCATGTTTTATCAAATGAAAACTCTTTACCTAATGTATGTGTAAAGCTATTTTTCCTTGGTCCATGTAAAAAAGATGAGAATTGCAAATGGGAATTCCTGTGTTTATTTCAAAGGCATACTGATATTACAGGGGGTGATACTGCACTCAGGGGACATCAAAACTAATATTAATGGCTGGGAAAACTTTAAACATTAGTGTGGCCTGGAAATTAATTGTCATTGATGCCTGAATTTTGCAGGGTGATGCAGCAGCAGTGGATCTCTGTTTCGTATTTTTTTTCTTTTTGTGTACTAGATTGGTAATAGGCTGGAGAGTATTGCATAATACAGAAATCCACTTCCATCGACACCCCACTGTCTTGTCAGGCCCTGTTGATTGTATCCCAAAGATAATTTTGAACAAGTTTGAGCAAAGCATGTTATCTTGTATGTAACTCGCGTAAAAGATAAAATAGTCTTACACATAGAAGCCACATTGTTTAAATGTAAATTTATTAATGAAAAGTTGATATTCTTGTTCAGGTAAATGCTAATTTATGTAAGATATATTTGTTTAGTATAATTGTTTTGTTCAAAAGTAATGGTATAAACCCCATGACCCTACCCAGGTAAATGTAAATGGTTAGAAGATGGGTGAATGGGTGGACAGTGAGAGTGTAAATTGCTATATCTGTAGTGGTCAGATGAATCCCTAAGAAGTACAGTAGTAAGGATATCTTTTCAGATCAAAGTATCTTAAGGACTATGGAATAATCAAGTACTTCAGTCTTTACACCAGATTTACCCTTTAATTTGCATATGTTCTATAAGATGTTTTGGACAAAAGTGCCTATGAAATAAATGTACATTTTAAAAATGTAATATATACTGTCATATAAAATGTGAATACAGTTGCTCTGCACTTAAATACTGTCAAACTGTAACATTTAGAACTTTTGATATTTTACCTACATATAATGCATGGCAGATAGACTTATGTGAGAGATTATCTGTGCAAAAGACAGTTACTGGATGCGCTCACCCCCGTAACACAGTAGTGACTTTGAATACATTCCAAGGGCTGAATCAAGATAGATCTATCTATCTATCTATCTATCTATCTATCATCTATCTATCTATCTATCTATCCAAATTTGTATCCACAATGCACACTAAGCTTGTGATATTTTCTGACATATGTATTTACACAATAAGTTTCCCTGAAATACTGCATTGCTTATGCCACACACAAACCTAATAATGTACAGGTGTGATTAAGTCACGTTAACATAAAATTCTGCATAAATTTCATTCTGTAGTGTTTGGATGGAATTGTGCAATTTGTACATAGAAATTAAACTTAGAGTGCTTGGATGCTAATTGGTTATTTTTTGAATGGAGAATCTCAAGGGATGTGAAGTACAATAATGACGTTCACGTGAAAAAAAATCAGATTCAGTGGCTGTAGAGTCACATCCTCAGTTTAAATGGAGGTGGGGGAGGATCGGTAACACTGCAGAAAGGAGCAAAGAAGGCAAGAGTTCTGCTACACATGAAGGGCAAATGGTATTTTTCTTTTCCTTCCTTAGTAGTAATTATGGCGTAAGTACAAGATGTAGAAGATGCAGGCTTTAAAATACGTCCAAAAATGTATTTCTGTCTCAAAAATCCGGAATTCAAATATATACGTGTCATGAAGTTCAACGCACTAGCCAGAAAGACTCAAACCTCTCATTTTGTTCCCTTTGGTTGGGTTTAAAGAACTCCAGAGTAATACTGTTCCCGTTTACGATTTTGTTTAATCAACAAATAACAGAACCGGCTACAATAATAGATATGGCATGCAAAGTGCAATAAAGCAACAGCTGGAGCACTTCCGTTTTATATCCTTCACAGAACTTTACCAATCTGTTAGTTTCAAATGAAAAGCACAGATATTGCACCGATAAAAAAAACGCGCGCACAGCCACGCATACTCTTTTCGAAACTTTTGAAATTACGGAATATATCCTATATCTCCAAGTTATTTATAGTTGATCGAAAAAGGTCTTAAGCTAGAGGTGTAGTTCAATTTACAATAAATATTTAACATACAATCACTCCACCCTTGAATATATATGACTAGTTACATATCAAGATAAAAGCATTATGGATATATTTAATAACTTTAATATTTTACATATTGTATTATGCATTAATTAAATATCCAAAAGTGGTATATGAACATTTGTATTCGTTTTTATTCGTCATTAGGTTTAACACTTGTTTTACAACAGGCTGGCAGACCGAATCGTTTAATTGGGTGTGTTTTTTTTATATCTAATATAAAATATTGCAACGTGACCTGATTTAACATTATTCTTCAACAAACGATATCGATTATAAATAGGGTTATTTCGCTCTTAAGCCTTTTGTTGATCTCATTATTTGCAAGACTGACAAGTAGCAGTAGGCATGGTAAACTTGCAAGACAACTACAAAAATACCTACTGAGTAGGCATGGAATAAGAAAACAATAAGACGTAAACTAATTTTGAAAGATGAGTTGATAGAAATTCCTGTGAGTAAATGCATGAAACCTCACCCCTTACGTCACAATACGTTTACAAGAGGCTACTTTTTATTTAGGTTGACTCGAATGATTCGAGAACTTTTCCTACTCTTATGCAGGCACCTGCTACCACCATGCGGACGAATGAAGATAATGCATTATGTACACAATTCAGCTTGGATGCTCTGCAAGAAAAAATCCAGGACCACAAATTTGTTTTGCTGTCGTATTATATATAAATGACTCTACAAAAGCAAAAAAAGTACGCAGTTTGGCAATTCAAAAAAGTTGCTGCTCATAAATATATAACTCGGTAAAGACATTAATTACCATACATTTATTGTCTTCAAATCATCGCCTAAGTTAGTTCTTGGACCTGTATGTCTTTGGAAGCATTTTGCAACGTTACATCTTCCAACGTTATAAATGTGAATTACATTGTATATTAACTGTTGCGTTTATTAATTCAAGTGGACAGCAAGGCGTAGCCTTGCTTTATATTGACTTAATATAATTTGTTTGACTTCTGCGTCAGTTTTTTTAAAGGTATAATTATAATTTAAAAAAATCAACTATTCGCTGAGTTGTGTGAATGAAAGATAAACGCAACAACACCTAAATTGCTTCAGTTATAAATTTGCTTCGTTCAAGGAAAACGTCAAATTCATCGTTCGGGAACGAAATTTCAAAAGCTCCGTTTACAGATGAGCTGTATCATTGTTTTACAGAAATGCCTACTATTTGTACATACTCAAAATGATTAAATAAGTTGTAAACAAATAATTGATTATTTGTCAAAGTACCCAAGTTTCTGTTTTTGCGTGCCAAAGCAGAAAACAAAATTGAGCACGTTGAAAGTGAAGTTATTAATTGCTCCGGTATAAAGGATGTAATATACACGAATTTCTATTGTTTGTAGGTATTATTCGTAGGCAAGTTCATTAATGACGGCAGTTCAATTAACATACACTTTTGGGAAATCTAATTCACATCGAAATAAAATGTTTTAGTATAAAATCTTGTCAAAAAGTAAATATAAATACTTATACTAAATAAAACGAACAAAAAAACTTCATTAGGCCAACAAAACGTGATTTGTGGCAACCAAGAAAGTACAAAGTACAGTGATTTACTTTGTTTCTTGTTTAGGTAACATGTTATAAGCAACAACCAATAACTTTTTATGAAAAAGTTATTAAACATCCGTGTGGTAGCTCGCATTATTCTGTAGCAAATAAATATTGCATTGTAATAAAGACGTTTCGGTACGATAAGGAAAAACAACGCTGATATCAAAGATATTGTCACTGCACAATCTGCACGTGCACGATTTGATCTAGATATCAGTGAACCAACAACAATTAAGTACTCGAACAAAAACCGATTATGAATAACATATTGAACAACTTATTTCTAACGATAAATAAATGTTATATAAATTAAAAAAGGATTTAAAAATATGAAATGAATACATCAGTTTACCCACAATCAGTTTCCTATTTATGTCTAGGTCAAAATTGCTCAGCGACATTTTAAATCGCCATATTTAATTTGACTTGACTTTACATGTTTTGTATGTACTTCAAAAGTGGGCTATTTTAAGCATCTAGAAGAAGTGATCCGCATACTTCAAAACGTATTTTAGGCACAAGTGATAAGTGTGTGCATGCTTGTGTTAGCAATTATTTGTTGCAATGTTCTACAAATAAAATATTTCCCGATTACGAAATTGGACTGAAAACTGAAGCACACATCCTCAATGTTAAAAGAGATACTATACCGTATTGTTACACATTTCCCCCCTGATAATAAAGTTTTTATTCCATATTCCAGAGACCGGGATGATATGCATTGGCTACTGTCACATCGTGTATGCGTGTGGTAATGCATTATCATAGGGTGACATAGTATCTCTATATCATCATGAACACTGAAAATAAGTCAATGAATGGATTTGATGTCAATGGATGGAATTTTAAAAACTGATCTGAACACCACAGTCACCATTATCATAATGATAATATATTTACATTTTAAACATAGGAAACGATCCCTAATAGTTTGTAGGGATCAAGAAAATAAATCAACACTGGCATTGATTGATTATTTTTGAAAGGTGAATTTAAATTTAAATAAGTGAAGGAAGAAAATCACTGTGTAGGATGCTATGGTGGTTAGTTGGATTTGGAAGTATAGAGATAGATCTATCTAAGTGGATTGAGAGGATGAGCAGTAACTGGTAGTTCAAGAGAGATTGATTTAAAGGATTACGACCTGTTGTAATGGAGAATGGTGAAATGGAACTGAATAAGGTTAGAGGACAGAGAATTAGGGATGGAAATTAAGAGGGTAAAGCCAGTGAAACTGAATGGAATTGGTTTGTTTGTCCTACTTGGTAATACTTGTAACTTTTTAGGCTGATTATTAATATATTTAAGTTCTCTTATAGATAGATGGTTTATTAATCTAGAAGGAAATTGCAGGTTTACAATAGCTGAATACACACAAGTAAACAGTTAAAAGACATTTAGACAATAATAGACAGTAACAAAAAATAATAGACAACTATAAGCAATAACAGTGGAAGGAATGTTAGATAACATATTGCACGAAATTCTGTGGTAACAGCTCAGAAATAAAATATATTATTTTCTTGTAATCAGTTCTCCAAAAAGATGAATCAGCTGGGTCATAAACAAAATGTGATAAGAAATAAAATAAGACAAGTCAAATAAATTATGTATAATTTAAGTTCGAAAAGGCTGAAGTTTTGAATTTTTTATGTTAAATATTTCAATAGAGTTTTTGGAATTAACTTAACTCATATTGTTTGATGATTGATTTTAGGTAGTTTGTTTAAGTATTCAGGTGGCACAGTGATGCTGTGGTTAGCATGGGTGTTTCTCACCACTGGAAACCAGTGCTTGAGGCTCTGTCCTGGCTCTGTTTGTGTGTGGAGTTTGCATGCTCTCCCTGAATCATTGTGAGGTTTTATCCAGTTGCTAAGGTGAACTGGAGTTGCCAAATTGCCTATAGGTGTGATGGGTTGGGGTCCCTTCCTGGGTAAATCCCTGCCTTCTACCCCTTGCTTCCAGAATAATCACTGCAACCATGCATAGGAAAAGCAGGTATGTAAAATGAATGAACGATTTAGACTGCTCTAATGAACAGCCATCTCATAATTATGGATTATATATTCTCTTTACTGCAGTGGACTTGCAAATGTGGTACAAGACACGAGTGATGAGTCACAGTACAAGTCAATAATATAGCCTAGCAATTAATATAGACTACTTCAGGGGTTGAAAAGCACAAACATGATAAACTGCCTTCAAGCCTTTTATCCTTGTCAGGGAAAATGAGCTTATCCCAAGCAGTACAAAGCACAGTCAGAACCTCAACATGATAAAAGTCCTTGTCAGGGTACATGCACATATTATGGACAATTTACAGACACCAGGTGCCTAACTGCATATCTTTGGACTTCAAGAGGAAACCCATTTGAGAACATGCAAGCTTAACACACCCAGACCAGAGGCAAAATTCAAACCCCCAAAGCAGGAAGTGGGAAGCAACAGTTTTACTGAATGAGCAACCATGCCACCCTTAAGCACAGCAAACATGCAAAAGATCTGTTCTTAAGCTGATTTTATCATGTTTCAAGGAGACATCTTGAAAACAGCATCTTAATTAAATCTCAAGAAATATGAAAAACTTTTTTGCAGTGAATTACGTGAAAATCATAATCAATTCAGTATTTAATTAAATGAAAACCATTAATCTTCTAGCCACTTAAACAGAGTTTGGAACCTATCCTAGGTAGCATATGGCATATGTATAAATATATATATATGGCATATATATATATGGCATATATATATATGGCATATATATATATATATACTATATATATATATATATATATATATGTATAAATATTTTTTTGCTTTAACACTTATTCCATTAAATGACCAATGATTTTTTATATGATCACACATTTTGGACAGTTTTTGGATTGTTGAAGGAATCCTGCAAAACAAGCAGAGAACATGCAAGCTACCACCTGAGTCACCATGCTGACTGAAATGAATATCATCATGCTAAATATCATCACAGATACATGTACACATGTCTCATACTGTCAATACTGGTGGTTCAAATCCTGTCTGTGTGCAGAGTGCGTGCGTTCTTTTTGTGTTGCAGTGCTTCATTTTGGTACAGTGCATAGACATGCAGTGAAATTAATTTATGTGTGGTCTATCCTGGGCAGGACAAGGCACAAGGCTGGGGTGCACACTGTACTGGATAAACAGCAGGGTTGGGCATTTCAGGTCCTGAAGCTAAAAATCCAGACCAAGATTTTGTTTCCACTAACCAGATGAGACCGTGAGTCTTTGTGCTCAACTGGTTGGTAGAAACAAAATCTTGGTGTGGATTTTTAGTTTCTAAACCTGAAATGCCCAAAATTGATAAGCAATTAGATGATGGATGGATGCAATCCTTATAGTTAACATGGCACTCTTTGTATTGACTTCGAGTCATTAAATAACGTGACACTCTCTGTAAATTGAATTCTTTGCATTCATTCCGTGCTGTTCAATTTATTAACAGGGTCGACGGTTAGAAACCAGCGGTTCAAACGTGGAGCTTCGGATTTAAAGATTCCAAATAACATGGAGGAAGCACAGGAACCACAAAGGGGCGCCATAAAAACAGCTCTTCGGTGATGTTGTGCTAGTCACCTCTTACAACAGGAAGAAATCATCCATATGTACCATGAGCACCAGGAAGACGAACATACCGATTTCCTGTTTTCAAGAGGCGAGCTTTTCTGATAAAATCATGTGGTATTTGTTGTTACTCGGTTAACAATTTGAAGGTCAAGGTGGTGTATATACGGCAACTGTGCAGAGCGGCCCGGATCCGTCGTCTTTTAAATGATCTGGTATCAACTGGACTGTCCTTTGTAAGAGGAGGCTGAATTGGTATTGACAGAGCAAAATATTGGTCAGGATGCACCGCAGAGGTGTGGGAGCCGGCGCTATTGCCAAGAAAAAGCTGGCAGAGGTAATCAACCTGACAACCTGCAGCCCCTATCTACACCGACCGCAAGTTTTATTCGAGGTTTAAGGACAGCCAGTTCAGCATCGTCTCGGTGGCAAAATAACCAGCTATTCGACGGTTTTCAGGACAATATGAGTCATGAAATGAGATTAAATTGCTTTCCTAATTAATCATAGTGTGAATAACTAATAAATACAATCGAATATAAATAGGTAAGACATACACGCACAATACATAAAATATGAGACTGGTAAAATCTAAACAAAAACATAGGCTACAGTTAAACGACTGATTTGGTGGGACGAGTATGCAAGCAGGCGATGGAATTGCATGATTAGATGAGGAGAATGTGAAATGAACAGATGAAATGGATTTTTTTAGCGGCGATACTGTTATAATGTGATTTATTTGCCAGTACGATTATGCCAGTGAAGGTGCTTTTTTCGTTAAGCGTTGACAATCGACTGTACATGATTTATACAGTTATGCGTTTCCGTAGGTGTACATAAGCTACGTGATTATCAAATTGGATCTTAGAATAAAAGTAACAGCACTGTTTTCCAATTCATTTATGTTTTCAGGCCAAGTATAAAGAAAGAGGAACGGTCCTTGCAGAAGATCAGATTGCACAGGTTGGTCAGCATACTTTTGTGCAGTTTCTCAGTAATTTTATATACTAGCAACTCATTTGTGCTAATCTGGGCCATAAGATGTATTCCTGGTGGAACACTTGCAGTGGACAACAACAACAGAGTAGGGAAATTTGTCACGTGCCCAACTGGTTTTGCAGACAAAGGATGAAATTTGGAGGAGGTGGAATAATACACTTGGGGTTGTAGTTTTAAGGCGACAGCTCACTAAAGTAAATAACAGGGGATGTAATTGCCTGGTAAACTTACCCTGTGAACGACAGTATTGGTATATTCTCACCAAGCCCTACTATGAAGCAATTCACATTCAGTCCGACGGACACCTAGGTCAAGTGACTGAAACTATTATGCTTGGAATAGAAAAGAAGGCCATTTCACAACATAATGGAGAAGTTGTGGCTGTAGCCTGTGAAGGCTGTTCCATATTATAAGTGAAAGAGTTGCAAAGAAGGAATTTGTAGACAGGCTATGAAGGCTTTTGGCAATGTCCTTATTTCGAAAGGGAGTTAACAGTGGTAAGTGCTTGTCTTGTTTGACCATCCAAGTCAGAAACTCAAAATTCCCACCAGGAAGTTGTACTTGAATGGCTGACATTCTGGGGCTGCTGACTGGGAGATTGAAGTTGGTGATGTGGCAACGTGGAACTTCTCAACTTAAAAGAATGACACTCTACTACTGCAACGGGCACTGCTAAAGCAACACTATTCCGGCATTTTGAAATCTTCATGATAAAATTCGCTTAGCCGGGGGTGGGTCCCTGATAATCTTGTTGTAATGATTTCAAAATATTGCGGTATGCCATATTAATGTAATACTATCCAAGCCAAACTATAACAAATTGAACCCTATTCATAAAAGTTCACCCGTTTCACTGCATTGCTTGTATTTGTGTTTGTTGCAATACATCTGCCCTCTCCTGGTCTGGTGGAATATCACTGCTGTATGCATGCACCGGCTGCAATCATCCGCATCCGCAGCCAAATGTAGTATGAACACAAGCTTCTGCACACATGACTGTCCTTAGCCTGAAAGTGCATGTGAAAAAGTGAAGTATGAATTGGTCTTTACACTGTATTATGTTTTGAGTTGTGTGTGAGCAAGACTAAAGTAATAGGTCTTCAACTGAGATGTATGTTGGTATAGCCAAAATATTATTAAGCATTGTGTTTCTTTCTAGATGTCCAAACAGCTGGAAACCTTCAAAACCCACTTAGAAGAGTTTGCCAGTAAGCATAAGCAGGAGATCCGGAAAAACTCCCAGTTTCGTGTGCAGTTCCAGGAAATGTGTGCTACCATTGGAGTGGACCCTTTAGCCTGTAAGATCCATATTCCTGATTTCGTCAGAATGCATGTGCAAGCTCATATAAGTACAAAGATTTTTTTGTACACTGTTTATGATGTGTATATTATTTTGTAATAAAACAAAATGCTCAGGCTTGCAAAATTTAGCTCAGCCTTTAAAATATTTGGTCCCCTACCAATAAACACTGAAGCAATCCATCCATTCATCTTCCAAATGGTAATCTTAGTCAGGGTTCTGCACAACTTTCTGCAATGGGCTTTACATGGTCTTAAACCTTAAAGTTTAAATAGATAATTGCATTTACCTTTTCAAGGTCTATAAAATGGTTTTTCCATTTTTTTTATTCATTGGCCACTGTATTCTCACAAACCCAAGTGCTTTGCCAAATAATTTCAAATACAGTACTACTCAGTTTCAGTGTGCTTGTTTGACCTTTTAACTTGTAACTTGTATACTCTTGTCTGTTGACAGGAGAATACATCCATCATATGGACTAATGAGTCAAAATATTTGGCCATATTTGGTTTCAACTGACTGTAGGGCTCAGAAATAGTGAGCACATTTTCATGTATGGTACCCACTGGAGTACCTACTGCATGGAGGAGACAGTGTCATGATCTGGGGTCGCTTTGTTGTTGATGGTCTTTACTATATCCCTGCCAAATAATGTCAACCAGCATGTCTATCATATGAACATGTAATGCCATCAGGTTTATGTTTGATTTGGCAGTTCTCAATTCTTCATCAAGAGGATAACCCAAAATGCACTGCGAAATGATTCAAGAGCTATCTGTTGACAACTCAAACTACTGATTTGGCCTGCCTAGTCTCCAGAACAATGCTGTAGAATAGGGGTTCCCAGTTCCTTGCGATGATTCTATGGCCATGGAATGCTGGGGGTTTTGGAAGGGGATGGTGAACTTCCATAAATAAATGATATGCTTCCAAAGCACACCTTTTTATTTTGTAGAATAGAACCTCTTAAATTGCGAAATCTGTCCAATCCACTCTCCCCCCAATCAGGTAGCACTTCTTTAATGTTTTTTTTTTTTCTGTATAGTTCGGTAGTTAGCCTTTTCACAATTTTATGCTATCATGTTCTCTTTATTTTATAACAATAAAAATATGGTTTTGAGATTCTTTGTATTCCATTAATCATATATAATTAATATTTATAAATTTCTCGGTAAAGAATTGAATAATCAGATTGTGAGAGAAATTTAAGATTTCCAAAGCATCTAGTTGTACCCTCAATAACTGCGATCAAATTGCCTTGGGGCCAATGATTTACACCCTACAGATTTGCCATACTTTGCTCAGGCCCTTAAAATATAGCTGCCTGTATACAGCAGCTTGTATGGAATGTGAAGACAGGTGTAGCCTGTTAGTGCAGTTTAGTGCATGTTATTAACTCATAATGGCACTAATTTTCCACGTACAATGCTGTTTTCACATATATATCTGACTTGCTCTTCTAACTGCTGACATATTTCTGTTTGTTGAACAGCGGGTAAAGGATTCTGGTCAGAAATGCTTGGCGTTGGGGATTTCTATTATGAGCTTGGAGTGCAGATCATTGAAGTGTGCTTAGCCTTGAAACACAGAAACGGAGGTGAGCTCTCATTTTTCTTTTTCTTCTTTGTTATGCCCAT